TGGTCCAAATGTCTCTGTGCTTTTGCCCACTTTCTAGCTGAAGTGTGCATTTTACTATTGAATTTTGAGAGTTCTTTCTGAATTCTAGGTAAAAGACCTTTGGGGGATATGTGGTTTGTGAATGTTTTTTTCCTCTTGTTTTTGTATATTAGTAGGGTGTCCACAGAGCAAGAGTTTTTAATTTTGATGAAGTCTAGTTTATGAATTTTCACTTTTGTGGATCGTTCTTTTGGCGTTACATCTAAGAACTATTTGCTGAGCTCTAGATCCTGGAGATTTTTCTATGTTTTTTTTCTGGAAGTTTTATAAGTTTACATTGAAGCTTGTGATGTTTTGAGTTAATATTTGTGTGAGGTGTGAGACTTAGATTGAGGTCATCTTGCTGCCTCTGGAGGTCTGACAGCTGTGGCACATTTACCGAAAACACCATTTCCCCTCCACCGAGTTGCTTTTGCACTTTGTCAAAAAAACCAGTTGGGGGCCGGCTGAGTGGCTCAGTTGGTTAAGAGTTCACTCAGGAATGCGAGCTCTGAGCAACAGCGGTTCAAGTCCCGGCCTGAGCTGAGCAGCTGCTGAGCTGCCAACAGGTGGCAGGATGGCTCAATTAAAAAAAAAAAAAAGTAGAATTTCCACGTGGCCCATCAGCCCCACTTCTGGGTATATGCTCAAAAGAGCTAGAGGCAGGGGCTTGAAGAGACACCGTGTCACAGCAGCTCAAAGGTGGGAGCAAGGCAGGCGCCCTCGATGGGTGAATGGACACACAGAATGTGGTCCGTACAAACAATGGAGTATCGTTCAGCCTCAACAAATAGGAAGGAGATTCTGCCACCTGCTGCCACATGGATGAACCTCGAGGACACTGTGCTGAGTGAAACAGGAGGACAGACACTGTATGATCCTACCTGTGTGAGATACTTAGAACAGTCAAAATCATAGGCGCAAAGTTGAATGGCGGCTACTGGGGAGCCATTGTTTGATGGGGCAGAGGCTCAGTTTGCAAGATGAGAAGAGTCACGGAGCTGGGTGGGGACGATGGCTGCACAACGATGTGAAAATGTGTTTAATACTGAACTGTACTCAATGATTCAGATGGTAAATTTTGTGCTATGTGTATCTTATCACACACACACACACACACACCTTTAAAACATAAGTTGGATATATTTGTGTGGGGTCTCCTTTCCAGTCCATTGTCTAATAAGTCTTGAAATTGGGTAGACTGATTCCTCCTACTTTATTCTTTTTCAGAATTGTTTTAGCTCTTCTGGTTCTGTCTTTTTTATGTACATTTTAGAGTAGTCTTGTGTCTTTCTACCAAGACTCCTGCTGGGATCTTTTTTTTTAAATTGGGACATTTGTTTCTGTTTCTTTTTTTTTTTTTTAAGATTTTATTGGGGAATTGGGGGAGGGGAACAGTGTTGGGGAATTGGGGAAGGGGACCAGCCAAGTTGTTGTTCTTCAGTCTTCATTGTGGAGGGCGCCAGTCAGCATCTGGCTGCCCGTTGGCAGCTCGTGGCCTCTAAGCTCAAGGTGCTGTGTTCAATCTTAGTTGCGGGTGGGCGTAGACAGCATCCCATGCGGGAGTTGAACCAGCAGCCTTGTTGTTAAAAAGCGCACGCTCTATCCACTGAGCCATCCTGCGGCAACTCAGCTCAAGGTGCCAAGTTCAGTCTTAGTTGTGGGTGGGCGTAGCCCACCAATGAACAGGCAATCTTGTTGTTACACCAGCTGAGCCATCCTGCCACCTGTTGGCAGCTCAGCGGCAGCTCAGCTGAGGCGCAGCGTCACTGGTCCATGTGGAAATCGAACTGGCGGCCCTGTTGCTCAGAGCTCGCGCTCTTAAGCCAATTCTTTACCAACTGAGCCACTCGGCCGGCTCTCCTGCTGGGACCTTAATGGGAACTGTGTAAAGTTGGAGATCGGTTTGGGGAACCGACATCTTTGCTATGTTGAGCCTCCCAATCCACAACCCTGACATGTCTCTCAGTTTATTTAGCTCTCCTGTGACTTCTCTCATTAGCATTTTGTGTTTCGGGACATAGGTCTTGTACATGTTTGTTAGATTTACACCTAAGTATTTCTTTGTTTTGAGTGATTGTAAATGATATTGAGTTTAGTTTCAGTGTCAGCATGTTCAGTGCTTGTGTATACAGATACGGTTGAACCCACCTAACGGTTCTTGGAGCTTTGTCTGGACTCCTTGGGACTTTCTAAGCAGCAACCATGTCATCTGTAACATTTGTTTTTTCCCACCTGACTTATGTGCCTTTTGTTTCCTTCTGATGGCTTTTGCACTGGCTGGAACTTCTAGCACCATGTTGCAGACGTGGTAAGAATGGGTGTCCTGCAACTTGTCTGGTCCCCTTCCCCGATTCCCCAATAAAATCTTAAAAAAAAAAAAGTGGGTGTCCTGGCCTTGTCCTGCCTCAGGAGGAAGACACTCAGTCTTTCATTGAAGCACGATATTTGTGTAGAATTTTGTGTCCGGTTGTACTGAGACATGCTTGACATGCATCACAGTGGAAGTCAAAGGTGTACAGTGTGACAGGCTGATCTACAGGTATTGTGAGATGGTTACCACAGCAGGCTCAGCCAACATCCATGTTCTCAAAGAGATCAGCAAAGAGGAAAGGAAGGAAAAAAGGAAACCAACTTCTCCTTGTAACAGAACTCGTAGGAGTCACTCTCTTCACAGCCTTCCTATGCGTCACACAGCAGCGTTAGCTGTAGTCCTGCTGTCCACCCCGTCCCCAGGATGCAGGTATCTTATACCTGGAAGTCTGACCCTTCTCACCATGTCCTCCAAGTCCCCCTCCCCCACCCCCGCCTCTGGTAACCACAAGTCTGATCTCTTTTTCTATGAGTTTTTAGCTTTGTTTGTTTGTTTTTATATTCTACATATAAGTGAGATCATATGGTGTTTGTCTTTCTCTGATTTACTTCACTTAACATAATGCCTTCAAGGTCCATCCATGTTGTCACAAGTGGTAGGAGTTCCTCATTTTTTTATGGCTGAATAATATTCCCATGAGTCTGTGTGTGTATGTTCACGTGTGTGTGTGTGTTCACGTGTGTGCATGCGCACATGTGTGTGTGTGTACAACTTCTTTATCCATTCATCCGTCGGTGGGCACTCAGGTTGTTTCCATGCCTAGGCTCTTGTGAACAGTGCCACACTGAACATGGGGGTGCGGGGATCATTTTGAGTTAGTGTTTTCGTTTCCTTTGGATATATACCCAGCAGTGGGATTGCTGGATGAGCTGGTAGTTCTATTTTTAATTTTTTGATGATCTTCTATACTGTTTTTCATAGTGGCTGCACAAGGTTTTTAAAAAAACACATGCTCTTAAGCAAGCTGAGTAAGTTCCACCTCTATTCCTATTTTTTTGAGAGTTTTTAAAAAAGATTTTATTGGGGGATTGGAGGAGGGGAACAGCGTTAGGGAATTGGGGAAGGGGAACAGACAAGTTGCTGTCCTTTTGTTCTTCAGTCTAGTTGTGGAGGACGTTGCTTCACTGGCCCATGTTGGTATTATCATTGCGCTCTTCCCGGGTGAGGCAGATGGGTTGCCAGCCACTGGACGGCCGCTCATGGCAGCCCAGCTCCAGGTCGGTCTGTTGTTCAGCATCTTAGCTGTAGAGGGTGCAGTGTCACTGACCCTCATGTGGGATCTGAACCGCGACCCGGCTGCTCAGAGCTGGCGTCCCAAGCCAACTCTTAACCAATGCGCCACTTGGCCGACCCAATTTTTTCTGAGAGTTTTTGTCATGAAAGGCTGTTGGATTTTGTCAAATGCTTTTTCTGCATCCATTGCTATCATGTGATTTTCCTTTGTTCACTTGTTATTATTTACATTGGTTGATTGTTGCGCGTATTGACCCAGCTTTGCAGCCCTGAAATTACCCACCTGGTCATAGTTATAAATATTGTTACATATTGCTGAATTCTATTTGCTAGCATTTTGTTAAAGATTTTTGCATCCATATCCATGGGGGTTATTGGTCTGTAGTTTTCTGTTTTGTGTTTTTGGTACTATCTTTGTCTGGTTTTGGTTTCAGGGTGACATCAATTTCATACAATGAGGAGTAAATGTCCCCTCCTCTCCTGTTTCTGGAAGCAGCACATGGAATTGGGTTACTTTTCTGCACCATTTGGTAGATTTCTGTGGAAAGCATCTGGCCTGGTGATTCCATGCTGGGGAGTCTCTAATCACAGATTCAGTCCCCTCAATTGTTGCAGGGCCGTGACATTCTCTGTTTCACGTGGGGCTCAGCGTGGTAGTTTGTGTTTTCAGGAAGTGTCCGTTTTGTCTAAGTTGTCAGATTTATTTATGCTGTCAGGCAGTTTTAATAAAGAATCTGTCCTTTTTCATGGATCTTGTAGCCTGTGTGGGACTTGTCAGTTTCCACATTTGTGATGTGTGATGACTTCTCTTTTCGGCCTGAGTAAACAGTCACCTTTGAGCCTAACTTTTTGTGATCATGACTTTATATGTACCGTTTTCTTAAAGACACTCTCCCACCATCATATAAACGAGATCTTCCCAGCCCCCCACAAAGGTGTGTTTGGGCATGTATTGCTTTTCAGAGAAACTTTGTTGAGTGGCCTGAGTTTGGGGGTCTCACCGTGGGTTAGGTGTGGACAAGAACTAGACAAATAATTAATGCCTTAGTGTGAAACCCCATATGGAAAAAAGTGAAAGGAAATATGTCTGCTGTATTATCACTCTTCTTTGTACTTTTCTGAATTTCCAAAACACTCATAGTTGCTTTTTAAAGAAAGAAAAGGAAGAGAAGAACAGAAAAGACAGAAAGAGACCAGGTTGGGGTGTTCGGGGTGAAGGGTTAGAAAGGCCTCTCCGGGGTCCAGCTCTCGTCCGTGAGCCCTGAGCGTTCCCACGCTCTGTCCACCGCGCTCCAGCAGGACAGCTGATGAGTTTCAAACAGGAAGCTGTTTGCAGATAACACTGCAGACGCCCAGCCTGATTTGCTGGGCGGTGTGACAGCCCAGGCCACGCTGGCCCTGCGTGTGGGACTGCGGCCGGCGGCCCTGTAAATAGCGGCCACGAGGCTTCCGGGCTCAGTGTCCTCGTGGGTCCCTGACGGTCAGGACGCCCCTTTGCCTGGTGTGCACCTCAGGTAGGGATGCTCTGCAGGATGGAGGTTAACCCGTGGGAAGGGGCTGAGAGCCCAGGCAGGGCAAAGGGAGGAACTGGGCTGAAGGGGTGATGGTCATCTACTCTCAGCCCAGGCAAAGGACCGTCCATCACATCAGTCAGGTGCCAGGATTCGAGGTCCGGTCAGCTCAGTGGTCACGGTGGGTGCTCACTGGGGCCGCTTGATGCAGACTCAGCCGTTTGGGGTTCATGGAGGCTCACAGAGGTGACGCTGTTTTCTCTAATTCCCAGCCAGGTGTGAGCTGTGGCTGTGGGGCCAGTGCAGGTCCAGGTCGGCTCGGATGCCTGCAGCGGGGCCACGTGGGTAACAGGAGTTATCCGCATTCAGTGACCAGCAGCCCTGTCTGGGCTCCGTAATGGGAGTCGCAGATGTGGGGGAGACGCAGGTCATCTTGTCTCCGAAGTTGGATAAGACAGAAGGGTCCCAGGCTGGCCCCTCGATGCCTGGCCGTAGGACTGGCCGTCCTGCTGGCTGGAGTTAGGTGTGGGCTCGGAATACAGAGCCTGAGGCCGTCGCATGTGCACAGTGATTTGGGGAGCACTGACCACACCCCCACGGCTATTTGATTTATTTACAATTTCGAAAAGCTGTATTCCAAATAAGAGAGCAGACCGGTAAAAAGAATAGGGAAAAGCCTCCCTGACTTTGTGATCTTGGTAAAAAGATAAGAAAAATGTCTGCCATTGGGGTGGACATCTGTCAGTGAGGTGGCCCTCCCGGCATTGTCCCCGTAGGAAGCCACCCCCAGGGCGGGGCTGGGCCTGGTTTGCCAGGAGGCCTGAGTGCCCAGGAGCTCCCGGGGTGTGGCCCTCCCCAGGTATGGAAGATGTCTAAAATGAGCGGCCTTTGTAGACTTTTAGTGAAAAGGTACAGTTGTATGTTTGGAACATTAAGCCACTTTTTTTCACTGTCTATTCTTATTATGTATTTCTACTAAGAATTCTAATTGAATCCCCTTCCTTCACCAAAAAGCTGCCTCCTTCATGGAAGGGTGGCCGAGCCTTCTGGGCCTTGGGTGGGTTGTGGGGGGCGCTGAGCCTCCGGAGCCTGGTCCTGAGATAAGGATGTTGTTCTTACGGAGGTCTAGAAGGGGCTGTGGCTTCTCCGTTTACAGAACGAAATTCCTCCTCCAAGAGGCCAGGAAAGACCCAGAGCTCGAGGGAGGGGCTCCCGCCCTGGCTCGCCTTCCCTGAGCTCTGGGGCAGGACCCTGGAGCGAGACCAGGAGCCTGCGCACCCCAGGGCGCCTGGGGCCTGGGCAGAGTGGACCGACGGACGAGTAAATGCGCAGCAGGGTCAGTGAGTGAGTGGAGGGATGAACAGGAGTCCTAGCTGCAGCTTGTTTGGTCGCTGTCACTGCTCCCTCCTTTCGTGGGACAGGGTGACAAGGACAGGCCTCCCTCAAAGCCTCCCTCTAGCTGAGTGAGTGGAAAGTCTTGCAGACAACGGCTGTTTCCTGACAGTCGCTTTTAGCTGCAGAGGAAACTCCACGTCAGCTCGTGATACCTGAGACGTTTAAAACCTCCAGTTCACATCCAACAAATACTAAGAAGCAAGTGTGCAGTGGCCTGAGCATGAAAGTAGGTGCAGCAGAGTCCTACCTCCCTCTCAGCGCCCGCGGGACTCCAGGCCCTGAGCCAGCGCTCCCAGCGCCTTCCCACCCGGGCACGCCACCCCCTCCAGCGCCAGTCGCTCCCACGTGGGCAGAGGAGCCGAGCTCACCCACGGGTCCTGGGTCCTGGTGCGTGGGGGCTTCCTGTCGCTCTTCCTTCTCGTTCTGATGTTAGTGTGAGGTGGCAGCTGGCACCGGCCACACCGGTGTCCCAGCCACGGTGTGAGGCTGACGGCTCAGCGCCCACGGCTCCGTCTCGGCCATCTGTAGAAGGCGTAACCGTAGGCTTCACAGGGTGGTCTTGGGAGTGCAACGAATTCATGTGTCCACGTTAGGGGCACCGTAAATACTGGCCCCTTTTCTCTCCACCAAACGTGAAACGCTACAGAATAGAATAAAATAAAAGCCCCACCAGCATGGCTGAGGAGGGCAGCCCTCGCTCTAATGCAGGGAAGCTAACAGCTGGGCAGAGGGAGGAAGTGGGCAGCCAGCAAGCCTGGTCGCCACGTCTTCACTAGAGCGCTGGGCAGGTCACTGAGTCCCCCTCGTCTTCGGGTTCTGACCTGAGAAAGGTGACGCACTCATCTCTGCGGGGGAGTTCACAGGCACTCTTTTCCCAGTGCAGTCAGCGCCCGTCTTGTCCCCGCCCTTTACGATGTCAGCTCGGTGACCGCACACAGGACGTCCCGGATTGTATTGGGTTGTGCGAAAAGTCATGACGTATTTTTTCTGTTTTTTGTTGCAAAAATGCGCCATGACTTTTCCGACAACCCAATGGATGCTTTTTATCATTTCATGGAGGGTTGGCTAAAGCAGAGGCACTCTACAGGGGAGACAGCACATGCTCAGTTTAGAAACTGGATTCCAGCTCTTTCATTTGTCTGGGAGCCATAGCTGGCCTTGGGGCTGCACATCATGTGACCAAAGTGACACCAGAGCTGTCACTTCCACCTGCCACGGGCCAGCACCCGAGCAGAGCTCCGGCTGCATCACCCCCGTTCTCGGCAGCCACCTCCTCTTTAAGCTGAGGACACAGGTGGCAAAAAGATGCACTTGGCCAGGGCGCTGGTCCTGGTACAGGCAGACGCGCCGTGGTCTCCAAACACGACGCCTTCTGGACACCTCAGTCCCACGCGGGGGTCTCTGCGTGCTGCCTCCCTGATGGCCTCACTGCTCCCCGAGTGACGCAGGGCCAGCCGTGTCCTGTCCCTTCCAGCTTCTACCCCGTCCCGCACTGATGCCCTCACTGGTCTGATCAGACAGCGTCTGAGCTGGAGCTGCATGGCTGGCCCAGGCGTCACGTCGGGACTCCGTGCTCTGTGATGTGATAGATACAAAACCCCAGCCAAGCACAAGCAGACACCTGTGTGGTGATGCTGCTCAGAATCAGTGGGGGAGCCATGTCCTGCGGGAGGGGCCCCGGTGGCTCGGGCCCAGGGGCTGCAGTGCTTGGCAAGACCTGGCTTGTGAGGCCGAGGGCTTCATCTAACTATAAACATGCCTTCGTGTGTGTGAAATGTTTGCTGTAAAGAACTGGACGAGGAGAACCTGGGTAACACCTCTCAGGACAGTAATTGTCACAGCCGGGCTGTGCGGACCTCTTGGTGGGAGTCAAATCAGCATATAGGAGCCTGAGCCAGGAAGAGGGGAAGAGGAGGGGGGAGAGAGAGGGAGGGAGAGACAGGGAGGGAAGGAGGAAGAGAGAGAGGGAGAGAGACAGGGAGGGAGAGCAAACAGGGGAGGGCTTCCATGACAGCTACCGAGCGCACTTGGCCCCTCTGGGTGGCCATGAGGCCAGCCGTGGCCTGCACACTGTCACTTGCTGTCCGCAGTTTTCAGAGTTCCCGTCACTGTTTATTCCTTCCTTCCTTCCTTCAGGAGTCAGTGTCCTGCCAGCACTCATCATGAGGAAGGATCTGGCCCTAATTGGCCTGGCCTTCCTGTCGCTGGTCCCATCTGGAGACCCTCAGCAGACGGCGGACGACGCCTGCTCCGTGCAGATCCTCGTCCCGGGCCTGAAAGGTAACCTCTGCCTCGGGCAAATCTGCCACCGCGGTGGCCTCAGTGTCCCCACTTGAAAAGCCAGGGGCTGGAATACCTAATGTCCACACTCTTCAGCCGGGAATTCTGTCACTCAGCAGTGTTTCTGTGCAGCTGGCCTGCTCCCCAGGACCTGCAGGCAGCTGACGTTGTTCCTGGCTCTGCACTTGCTATCATGTGAGCCTGAGAATGAGGTGACCTCACCTGGTCCATTTTGCAGATAGGGACACTGGAGGCTCAGGGACTCAGCAATTTGCCAAAGTGGGTTGTGCAGCTCTGAGGCCGGTGCTGCTCCATGGGTGGGCTGCCGGGGTGTGCTTTGCTTCCTGGCAGAAAGCCCTGCAGAGCAGAGGGGGGGGCCGACACAGGTGTGGGGGGGCACCTCAGCTCTCCCTTGCAAATGAGCAGCTCTTTACTGAAGAAGGTCTCGGTTTCCACAAAGCCGGGGCAGGAGATTCCAAACCTTGTAATTCCCAGGCAGGGCCAGCCCCAGAATTATGGGGGCCCACTGCAAAATGACAACGTGGGGCCCTTGCTTCAGAAGTTAGAAGGAATTTCAAGAGAGGACGCGATGGCTCCAGCACGCGGTGCTCCAATCGGGAACAGGGTGTGGCTGAGGGGGGCTGGCCAGGCTGGCACCCGGTCACTGCCTCCGTCCCAGTCCCTCTCCTCCCCGCTCTGACTGCTGCAGGACGTTGTTGGGGGACAGTCCTGTGTGAGAAGGTCTCCTTGGGCCACTTTCACGCTGTGTGGAGACCAAGAAGACAGCCCTGCAGCCCAGTCAGGCGGCTGGCTTTTGCGTTCTTAGTTGTAATAAACACGCTGACCCTCTTGTAAACGTTTTAGTTACATTGGAGGAAACTGAAACGACCTATGCCGCTCACTCACAAGTTTGGTGACAGGGCGAGTTGGGGCCCTGACTTTAACTAGTGTGGGCTCCTGGTGGGACGTTCAGTTTTAAATTTGAACACGTGACATTGGGAGAGAGGGATTCTCCGCCATGGGCTCCTGGGTCCTGAACCTCCCCCTCCTCCACTCTGGCGTCCAGCGTGGGCGCCTGTCCGTGGCCCCCGCACGCTGGGCGTGTGGGCGTGGGTCCCAGGCCCGGGGCACAGCCCTTGTCTGTTCCATTATGAAAACTGTTCAGACGCTTCTCAGGAGCGCTGAGCGGGGACCTTTGCAGTCGTGCCACGTGCCCTGGGTCCCATGGAGGCTGTGCAGATGTCACCTGCGTGTGTGTGTCCCTCTCTCTGAGGTGATGCAGGTAGCGGGAGGATGCGTGGCCAGGGTGGACTGTGTGCAAGTCCAGGGGTGTGGCTGCCGCCTTCTCCCCCAGGCGCTGCCCCTCAGTCCGAACCTCAAACGGGGAAGGGGACACAGGGCACTGTGAGCATTCAATGCAGCGGCATTTCCTGCCACGCGCTTGCTTTCGGGTCGAGGAGCTTAGTAATTAAATCCCGGCAGTTGTTTGATTTCTGCTCATAAAATCGCCCATGCTCCTGAGCACACGGCCCCTGACTCCGACGACCTGGAGAGGCACCAAAGGGGCAGAGTTTAGAGAATGGCTTCAATGTTTGCTTATGGTTACAGAAAGATTCAGTGTATTCCGACGCTAGTACAAAAATTTAATCTTTTCCTAATTCTGCTAAAAATATACAAATACATAGAAATAGAGGAAAAAGCTAGAAGGAAGTATGGTGACGTGTTAGCAGTGGTTTTCTCTGAGTATGGAATTGTGGTGTTTAAGAAACTCATGGAGGTAACAGTCCAAATTTTCTACAGTTTAGCTGTATTTACAATTTAAATGGATAATTAGGGCAACATCAATGTTCACATATCTCTGGGTTTTCAAGCGTATCCTGAGGGCACTTCTGAGCCAGATGCTTTTTGAAATTGGTGTTGGTGACCGTGTCCGTGTCCGCAGAACCCAGAATCCCAGTCCGCGTGCTGGGCACCGGGTGGTCTGTCCCGTGTGTGTGCGTGTGTGTGTTTGTGTGTGAAGCCCAGGTGCTTCCTGGCATCAACCGTTTCTCAGCACTTACCACCGAGCAGTCGTCAGTGAGGGGCCGGTTGTTCCCAGGCCAAAGCCTGTTCAGCAGACAGGCGACCTGGTGTCACTCTATTCATCCCTGTCCCAAGTGCTGTCCGGGCATCTGCAGCGAGCAAGACAGGACGGAGTGCTTGAGACAAGAGAGTCCATCGCGAAGCCGGGGTGGACCTGCTGCCCCAGGCCTGTCCTCCCCAGGTGGACACTCCTTCCTGGGTGATGCTGACACTGTGCCCACAGACTCAGGCCGTGGATGGGACACGGCCACGCACCCGGGAGCACGCGCTGTACGTCCTGGGTTCCCATGGTGGCATGCCTTCCTCGTCTGTCAGTATCAAAGGGACAGTTCTACTGGAGAAACGTCTTACTATGTTCATTGAAGCCTTAAACGGGATGCCATGTTCTTTTTATTTGCAGCTTATTGAGGTATAAATAACAAATAAAAGTTGTGTACACTCAAGGTGCACAGGTGACGACTGAATACACAGAGGTGACGTGAAACGGTGACTGCACTGACGTTAATTAGCATGTCCCTCTCCTCACGTCGTCACTGTTCGGTGGGTGGAGAGCCAGGGAGGGTAGAATCCCGGGGACAGTGTGGCCCCTTCCCCGAGATGTGTGTGCGCTGACGGAGACACAGCCCCTCATCCACGCAGGAAGCTGTGGCTCTGAGCCTTAGATTGGCAGCAGGGGTGGGACCAGGATAGGAGCTGTGGCAGAAAGCAAGTGTGGGGCTTCCAGCCAATAGCGGCTTGGGACGGGCAGGGTTTTGTCCCCTGCAAGTGCAGACTGGCGTCCAGGGAGCCCTGCCTGTGGGTGTGGGTGTGCCCCGCACCTGTCGTTGGCCGAGAGGTGTGTGCTCCACGCCGGGTGGTGAAGGGTGCGGCCCCTCGTGTCAGGCTCACACATCCCGCCTGACCGTGCAAACGTGCTGTGACGCTCACACCATGTGATGCCCGAGACCACGGAGAGACACGGGAGCCGCGGGGCGAAGTGTGAGGACGCTTCCACCTTCTCCAGGAAGGGTCCTGGGGACAGTGAGGACTTCGCCGCATGGTGTGTGTGGCATACACATCACTCCCAGCCACAGCGCACACGGTGGCCACGGGGCCGGCCTGCGTCCCCCTCCAGGACGATGGCTAACACTAAGCGTGCGCTGGCCGTGCACAGAATCGGGGAGAGGACAGGTCCCCACCCGGCCCGCGCTCGACCATGATGAGCCAGACTCGTCTGTGAAAGGATTCATTACACTGACGTGTCAGGAACTGTGTCAGTCAGGGGAGATGTAAATACAGACAGCGCAGGTCCTGCTCTGAAGACGGAGGGGCTCCGTTTATTTGCGCGACAGACACGGAGATGCGGGATGGAGACCCATTGCCCAGTTCGTTATGGCCCCAGTGAGGCCGCGGCCTGCAGCCTGAGGGAACACAGCCCCCAGGCGGCCCGTGCCCTCGCGGCCTGTGGTTCTGTCCACGGTGCAGATGGCTCGAGACACCTCCTCAGCACGCCTCGGGCATCCGTAGGCACTGACTGCTGTTGGTGCTTGAGACGGAACATATTTACTATAGAGGACTAACTATAACACATAATCTTTGCATTTGGAGAGAGTAACAGCTCCTTTGATGGGGAAAAGCTGTCTTTCCTCAGTGGCTGGAACTCTGGTCGCAGGTGGGAGACATTTATGTATATTAGCAAGCCTGCTGCTCAGAGGTTTTTCAAGGGCACAGTTACTCTTACAGGTTTTACCAAATTAATTTAGAAACCATTAACTGCCCTCGCTTAAAACAAGGTTGATGATAGCCAGTAATATGACACCCTTTGGGGACGTGGCTGTTCTGAGCGTGGTGACACTGCTGGTCTGCGTGTTCCCTTGTCCAGGATGAGCGCTTGGCCGAGGGCTCTGTCTCTCCTCCCCAGCACCCACTGCTCCTCCAGGCGGTGGCGTCCGTGCGCAGCCTTCCTCGTCCCGCTGTAGAGGCAGGTGTCATGAAGCCGGGACGTCCTCAGCGGGCTGCCCTGAATAACCAGTGTGCGCCTTCCTGGTGGGGTCGAGAATTACCCCCAGTGCGATCCAGGCAGAAACTGTCTGCTCAGGGACTTTTGTGTGATTTGCAGGGAGGCTGGCAAGGGGGAAACACACACAGTCCACGCTTCCTGTCTTCTCTGAAAGAGGAGAGAGCAGTTTGTTAATGTGGCAGCAAATGAGCCAGACCGTTGAAATGTGAGCCTCTCCCGGTGGAGAAATCACTCCTCATGGAGAACACTATGCAATAAATAGCCCCAGTCAATACCTGATGAAGGAGAGGACGTGAGACGGGCTCCTGTGCTCCGTGCCCATGCATTAGGGGATGCGTGTGCTTCCTGAGTGCAGAGGTTTCTAGAGGTGCGGCCTGGAGTTACTACCAGCTGAGCGGAGATCAGGATGTCCCCCGACACTCGCAGACTGCGAACATTTCACAGAATGAAGCGTATGAACAGAGCTTGAAAACAGTCTCCGTTCTTAGGAAGCACAGCCAGGGCTCGTCTCCAAGGACAAGGCCAAGGTCACTAGAAAAGAATGGGGTGGGGAGGGTCTCTGCCACGAGGGTCAGGGTTAGGGTGGCCACGTAACAGTCACGACGACCAGCGTGGTGCTTTCCCAACGTAGTTCACGAACCCTCGTCAAAGATGAGTCGCAGTCTGGACAGCTGACATGCCCAGCTGCTCAGGAGGCCACCTGACTGTCCTGGACACGCTCATGGCAGGGACAGCAGCGAGGAGCTCAGGGTGCCCGCGTCCACGCTGGCGGTTTGGTCACACGTCAGTTTAGCAGAATCCCTGGGGAGAGCGGTGTTTTGTGGATTTTCCGATTAGCTGAGAGAGAAAACGCACGTTAGGTCTTGCCCGTTAGAAAGCCTTACTCTTCGTCGAGATGTCTTCTTCCTCTCTCCTGCTTTCGTAAACTGAGTTTGGGACACGGGCTGTTCAGTGAGGTTCAGGGTCTTTCTGTGCCTTGATCGTGATGGGGAGCCGTTGATCAGCCTGGAGATGGGCCCGTGGAGGCGGGTGAGCCAGCAGAAGCTCTGACGACAGGCCACGGCCCTTACTGCTTCCTCTTCTAAGACGAGGGAGGCCAGGGTAAGCAGTGCTGGGTCACTGGCGGCCTGGTTATGTCCCTCGTCCTCCTCTTAGGGTTTCGATGTCCTGAGGAGGTGTGGCCCAGGCCGGGGTTGGGGGGCCGGCTCATCCAAGCCTAGTTCTTCCTCAGTGACATGGACATGAATGGCCCCTGCCTCCCGAGCTGGGCGAGGCTGAATTATGGAAATAAGTGAATGCCCCATGTAAACTCTAGGAATTACCTTAATCAGCAAAAGAAAAGCCAGTGGGTGCACGGAGTGTTAATTTTCTACACGTGTTGGCAGCCCCTGCGTGGACCCGAGAGCTGGGCAGGTGTGAATTGTCTTCCAGGAGCTTTGAGTCAGCGGGGGCTGGGCCGTGGGGCGGGCTGCTGTGACGGAGGTCGGAGGTCCTGCTACGCGCTGGCCCTGGCCAGGCTGCAGCAGGAACACACACCTGCTCTTCCTCCCGGTGGCCGGGGTGCGTTTCCCTGTGTGGAGCGGTCGGCGGCTCCCGTGGCCTGAAGTGCGGGGCTAAGAGCTCTTCTCTCATCCCTGGGGGGCTTGCCCAAACCGCTTCCTGAGCCTTGGCGTCTCACCTGCACAGGTGGGGCCCCCTTTGCTCCCAGCACTTCCTTCCACTACTGTTTGGCGACGTCGACATCATACTTGTGCAGCTGGTGTCAGCTTCAAAGCCACTTCACCAGAGAGGACTTTCTGCTCTCTCGGTTTAAATTATGGCTCTTTTGTTGAAGTGACTGCCTCGTTTTATTCTTGTATCCCGGGTTGCTAATGAGAATTCTTATGTCAATCTGATTCTCGTTCACATGCAGGCAGCCTTTGAAAATTCTTCTCTTGGCAGCTTAGAGAATTTCCTCTTTGTTCCTGATGTTCTGCAGGGTCGCTGACACTTTCCCCCCATTTCCCTGCGTGGTGCTCCGTGGGCACCTTCACCGTGTCCCCTCATGCTTTCTTTCCCTCAGGAAATTACAGCCGGGAAGTCTGCACAGCGAGGGCGGCCTTGGGTCCATCTCCCGGTCCGGCTTCCCGTGAGAGGGACACTGCCGTTTGTGGGGCTTCTCTTCAACTCTCCACTTGGTCGTTTCAAAGCCAGAGCTTTCCAGTTCTTCATCTTGGTTTTGCCTGTGAAAAAGTTCATCATAATCTTTTGTTTCATGAGTTAGCCGTTGTCATCGGCCATTCTGTTACTCAGCCTAGTGACACAGCAGTTTATTTCAGACATCAATTTCACGGACAAGGTTCCTCGACGGCTCCTGCTCACTGCTGCTGGCTTGTCCCTCTCTTAGTGAGGACGCTTGGTGTCTCGTCTCAGGGCAGGTCCTGGCTGCCCCCGGAGTCCTGTGCCACCTGCTGTCACTTCTCTTTCACGATATTGCTGCCCTCACACATCTGCTGATGGTTGACTCCAAGCTCACTCTGGTAGTTGGGGTTTCTTGCTAGACTATCAGTGTTCCTCCAAATGTGGCTGTTGTAATAATTTCCTTTCTTTATAAAGATCAGAAAAGGGAATGACCCAGAGATTCAAGGGCCACATGTGTGTGCTGAGCTTGTGCCAACACACAGGTGTCAACCCCCCATTCTTCAGGTGGCTCGGTGGAGCCATCTCAGCTGAGGCATGAGTGTGACAATGACATAGCTCTGTCTGCTACTTATTTTTTTTAAGATTTTTTTTTTTAATTGAGGAATTGGGGGAGGGGAACAGTGTTGGGGAATCGGGGAAGGGGAACAGACAAGTTGCTGTCCTTTTGTTCTTCAGTCTAGTTGTGGAGGACCTCGCTTCACTGGCCCATGTTGGTATTATCATTGTGCTCTTCCCGGGTGAGGCAGATCGGTTGCTGGCCACTGGACGGCAGCTCATGGAGGCTCTTGGCAGCTCACGCCAGCTGCCGGCCACTCACAGTAGCTTATGGCAACCCACTGCAGCTCTGCTGCAGCCTACGCCATTGCCGGCGACTCACAGTAGCCCAGCTCCAGGTTGAGCTGTTGTTCAGCATCTTAGCTGTAGAGGGTGCAGCGTCACTGGCCCTCATGTGGGATCCGAACCGGGGCCCTGCTGCTCAGAGCTGGTGTCCCAAGCCAACTCTTAACCAACGTGCCATTCGGCCGGCCCTGTCTCCTACTTTTTATTGGCACTCACTTTGCTTTTCTCTTTGTTTACTTAAATTTAAATGGACGGTCACCTCCTTTGGACCAGGTTATCCACTTTGGGGATTTCACTGGGGAACCTGTGCCCTTACTTGAGCTTCTCACCCAGCACAGGTGCACATGGAGATTTAGAGAGAAGTAAAGTTAGCGTGGATGTTGGCCTGCATTGTCGATAAATTGGAAGGGACGTGGGCCACGTGTCAGCGTCATACATGTGCTCACAGGAGGAACAGTGCAGCCGCTAAGTGTGTGAGACCACATAAAAATGACAGTGATGTGAAACAGGGTGCCAGTCACCAGAGAAATGAGAGGTTCAGTGAAGGAATCAGGTAATATCTCCTGGAGAGCCCGGTGGGAGGGTGACACCTGGGCAGGTGGGCTGATGGTCAGGGCAGGACAGGCAGAGGGGACAGCGTCAGGAGGAGCTAGGTCCCAGGTCAAGACTGTATTGAGAAGGAGCTTAAAAACGGGATGTTGTTTGTAAGTAAGTTAGCCCATTGGTGGTGTTAAATGTCTTCGGAGAAGGGCAGTGATATAAGTGGGTCTGTGTTTTAAGATAGTTTGGGTGGGTTAGAGTGGGGGGCCTAGGGAGGGGCCGTGGTGTCTCCCCTCAGGATGCCACACTCTGGGCTCCCACCACACCTCTGTCCCCTGCCCAGGACGCCTGAGGGCGAGCCGTGTGGTCCGTCGTCCGCAAAGCTGCAGAGAAGCAGATGAGCACGGAGGCCCCCTGCAAGCGGGAACCCCCACAGGAGGGGGCGCGGCTGGGCTTCCCAGAGCTGGGCAGTGCTCGCATGTCCCCGATGAGAGAGACAGAAACCCAAGATGACCGCTGGCCGGGGCGTGAAAGCTGGGAGGTTCAGTGTGTCGATACTAGAACCAGGAGAGCGTGCAGAATTTCTGGGGAGCAACCATTAGACTGCCCCTGAGCAGGAGCATGTGCTCCGGGGGTAGGGGGGCTCATGCCAAGGAGACAAGGGGACACAGAGAGAGGCCAGGTTAATTCTTCCCAAGTGTGCAAGGCAGACAGAGAGCGGAGAGAGGCCAGGAGGGATGCTTGGCCATGGGACACTTCTCTCTCTGTGTGGACATTAGGGCGCTGAGGGGCAGCAGAGCAGAGGCTGGGGATCTCGGGGAGCCCGGTGTGCCAGGGGACAGACTGGGGCCAGCCAGGGGGATAAGTGGAGAGAGGGACAAATACGTCCCGGAGGAGAGAGCAGGGCAAGGAAGCGAAGAGCCCTGAGAAGAAGGGGTGAGATGCCTGGGGTGGGGTGCTGGGGCTGCAGCTGGGGTGGCGAGGAAGCCCGCGGGAGGGCTGGTGGCACAGACACAGGGGCAGGCTTTCCTCTTGCCATCCCTCCACACGTCACACTGGATCCTGTGCTCAGAGCGAGTCCTGAATGATGCGACTTCTTCCGCAGGGGACTCCGGAGAGAAGGGAGACAAAGGCGCACCAGGACGGCCGGGAAGAGTGGGCCCCACAGGAGAAAAAGGTACCATCTCAGCCCCTCAGGGCCCTGTGCCCGAGGGCACGGCGGGCACGCCGGCTCCTGCCGGCTGTGGGGGAGAACAGGGTGGGGGATGGAGAGGCCCCAGTGCGTGGAGGTCTCAGGAGGGCGGCTGGCCGGCTGTGGAGTAGGGCATGGCCGGGGCTCCTTACACAGTGCTTCCAGGCGCCGCCCGCTGGCTCCAAGAAGGAGGGGCTGCCTGGGAGGTGCATACAGTGGGGTGTGTGTGCGTGTGCAAAACGGGGACCATGTGTGGGTATTACATGTGTAAGTGCAATTGTGAGGGTGTGCAGACAACTAGGAAGGTGTGCAAAGGAGAGCGCACAGACAGCAGGCGTGTGGTTACCCAGCGGCTCCCGCTTGAAGCCAGCGAGCCCAGCTGCTCTGAGTCTGTCCCCCCCCCCTCCGCCCCGCCGCCTGCTGGGCTGTGCCAAGCGCACAGGAGCCACATCAAGGCTGTGAAGTCGGTACACAGTAACCACAGATGTTTAATAAATGCCGTTGTTAACAGTAGGATACACTCACTTTTACTTCTTTAAATGTTTTTTACACAGTCATTAAAATCTGTCTATAGAAGTGCTTTGTCGAAGTTTTCACCGTGTTCTATGAGAATATAGACTACAGTTTATCAGCCAATCCCCAACCAATCTCGTAACATTGGGGAGTTAGGCCGTTTCCAGTTTTAAAAAATTATTTTAACAACATAAATAAAGGCCATTGAACATATATTTTTAAACCCATGGACTTTAAAAAAAATCTCTTTGAGGTGTGATTTACACCTCCTTGTGAAGTGAACCTCGCAGTGAGTTTGACAGCTGTGTACACCTGTGGGACCCTTGTCACATTCGAGACCCAGAGCACTGTATCCCTCCGTCAACCATAGGTGCTGACTTTTGTTTCTTATTTTTCAATTTACTCATAAAAATGATTTTTAACAATATGAGGAGTGATAAAAAAATATGATGAATGTTTAAATAAAAAAAGTTTATTCCAGTAAAAGACACATGGCCATTAATCCCCTTCAAAATACTCCCCCTTGCTTTGAACACACTTATCCCATCGTTCTTGCCAGTTTCTGAAGCAGCTCTGGAAGTCCTCTTTCGTGAGTGTCTTTAGTTGCGCTGTCATGGCTGCCTCGATGTCCTGAATCATTTTGACTTTGCGGAAGAGCCAGAAGTCGCATGGTGCCAGATGTGGTGAATCAAGTGGATGAGGACACACCATGATGTTTTTATTTGACAGAAATTGCCTTATACCAGAAATGATGTGTGACATGGAGCCTTTCCATTGTGATCACAAAACACGGTGACTGCTGCTGCCGAGTGCCATCCAATGGAAAGGCAGGATCTTCAATACGGGAAGTGTGTCGAATCTTAGTAACAGTGTGTGACAAGTTTCAACTTGTTCAGTGCAGTCAGTCGGGTGTGAGTTACGGTTGAGAGAAGGTGTGTTTTAAAGTGTGCCGTAAATCATCCTCCAACATGACAATGCCCCGTGTCACACATTGCTTCTGGTATACGGCAATTATTCTGGTAATAATTTTTTTTATTTAAACATTCACCGTATGTTTGATCACACCTCGTAAATGAACTGTTCTCACAGTTCAAAGTATTCACAGAGGACGGTCACCTCCCCGTCCCGGCCCTGCAGCCATCCTCCCACCCACAGCCCCTGGCAGGTTGGTTCATCTTTGGAGTTATCTTATGGACTGACAAGCACATTCATACGCGCTTGCTTCCCTGTTGAGAGCTGCGTGATACACACGTGTTCCGCCCTTCCCACTTAGCTGTGCGTCTTGGAAGCTATTCTGCGTGAGAGACGCTCCCCTCGCCCTTTCCCACAGTGCGAATTCATCGCACTTTTATCCAACTGCTCCCCTGCTCTTGGGGTTTACGTTTTCCTGGGGGTTTGCTGCAGCAAACAGTCTTGTATTTGTCACTTTTTAATGTGTGAGTGTAGCTTGAAGATAAATGCCTAGCCATGTAGTCTCCAGATCCAGATGCTCGTGCACTTGACATTTCGGTAGATAATACCCTCCAAACGGGCTGAATCAGTTTGCAGCAGCCCCCAACACCCTCCGACCCCGAGGCCACCACGGAGTGGAGTGAAACGCCCCATGGCGTGGGTCCACTTGGCATCCCTCATTATGAAGGAAGTGAGGTCATTTTTTTCAAGTGTTCAGCAGTCCTTTGTATTTCTTTTCTGCCTTATGTCCTTTTTTGGGATTGTCTTTCTGTCTTTTTGAAGCCTTTTTTGGGTTCGTCTTGATGCATAAGATACTTTGCACTTATATTTCCCGGGCATGTCTCTGAATATTTCCTTAGAGTTGCCAGAAGTGGCATTTGAACTTTAAAGGTTGTCGGTGCAGCTTCTATGCCCGCCCACCTCTGCCTGCGCTAATGCACAGTCTCCCCGTCCTTCTCACGTTCCCTCGGAAAACACAGGGGCCCGGAAGGCAGGGACATGTGGGGCCTGGCTCCCCGGGCGCCTGTGAGAAACAGCACAGCCAGGGTATCAGGACAGAGGCCGCACGGCTGAGCCAGGGGAGGATGGCTGACCAGGAGCACGGAGGGTGGTGCCATAGGCAGCTCTGAGCTCGTTTTCTCATCTGTTGGGGGCGGGCAGTGACTTAGCCGCTTCATAAAGCTCTGGGTCACGATAAGCTAAAACCGCTGTAGTCTAAAGGGCTTATTATCACTATACGTCTTATGAAAGTGCTGAAGGTACAGCATGCTACTTATTGTGTTATTGAACTAATGACATTTACACAATGATGAAATGGGTATTCCTCTGTTCACACTGGGAAGTGGACACCTGCCCTAGTCTAGATGGTCGCTAATTCATTTTCGTGACACCATCTCACTGATGTGTTTTCAAAGTAACGATGTTTGAGCTCCGCATACAAATGGCAGTAACGCCTGATTTCAAGTTGACACAGACGCTTCTCTGCTCTCAACTCTGTCACCTCTTATCGCTGATGGTTAGCTCAGCCATTTCTCTCAGCATCATCATTCTCTCTTATTCTCACTGTCGAAAAGGTGATGCCAGCGTGTGGGGACCACCAAAGCTCTCGCTTATCACACCGTCTAAATCGAGAATGGACACTGCTGGGCACTCTGCAGCCCAACCCATTGCATTTTCCCATCATCTAACTACTAAATTGGACACTGTCAGGTGCCCCGTGCTTGTGGGACGCACCCTGGAGCCCCGCAGGGCCCAGTAGGGGAGGCAGGTGAGTGGCTGCAGGAGGGCACATGGACGGGGTTCGTTCTCAGGGTCTGCTGAGCCGGAGGCCCTCCTCCGCCGGTCGCCTGGTGGGTCTTCAGCAGCATGTGTGCGCGGGAGCCAGTGGGGCGCGAGTTACAGTGCAGCCTCGCTTCTGGGACGGCTGGGGTGCAGCAGGCCCACCAGGATGCCCCCAGGAGGTACTGATCCTGTGGGGTGCCACGGCCTGGGCTGCAGGTCCGCCTGGAGGACCCGGACGCCCTCCACCCGGGTGCCCTTCTCACCTCAGCTCCCCTGGGGCCTGGCTGATTTGCTGGGTGTTGGGGGGTCTCCGTCAGCGAGCAGCCCCCTGCCGGGAGCACAAAAGGCTGCAGGAGAAGTGCATGCAAGCTGACAACGTAACAGACAAGCCACAGCGCAGGCAGAGGCCTCCTGCTGTCCTTTGTCCCTGATTGAAATAGGAATAATTTCCCGTTTCTAGCCCACACAGCCGTGTGGAAAGAGTACAGAGCTGGCTTTGCTGACACAAGCTGCTAAGTGTGTCATCTCAGCTTTCAGGCTTCTGGTCCCCAGACACGCAACTAAGACAAGATTCGGGCGGCTGCGAGCCCTGCATTCCGGAGCTGGGACTCCCCTGGCACGCGGAGGTGGAGGGCGCCCGAGTCAGTGATGGGCTCCTGGGCTCTGTGATGCCGCGTTATCCTCTGTTAAAAATCGCTGAGGATGCTCAATTCCAAGTGCTCTTTGTGCCCCGTCTCCACTTCAAAGGACTGTGTGACATCTTCATTAAAATTAATAAGAATCACCTGCCGCTGTGAGCGCTCCGCTCCTCGTGGTGTCTGGAGGGCGAGTGCGTGCTGTGCAGGTTCATTAGTGGCTGGGACGCGGAGGGGCCGTCGCCTCTGCTCCCCGCCCTCTGGGGGCCTCCACAGCGGCCCCTGAATGTAAAGGGACAGGATCTCAGAGTGTCTTGTGCATTTCCCATCAGCTCACACAACCCGGGTGGGGGGCGAGGGGGCGGGTTTGCCTGCGTTTTGTGAATATCTTCTTGTCGTTGGAGGAGCTAGACACCTTGGAAGCGGGACAGGCAGCCAAGCTCCTGTCCTTCCGTTCTCCTCAGAGGACCTCTGGGCTTGCAGCCACACTGCTTTTCTGCCCACAGGCTGGTTTCTGAGCCTCGTGGGCAAGAAAAACATGTCCGCTCCGTAAAGCCCTTGGGGTGCCACAACGCAGAAAACGGTCACAGTCGCAGGGGATTTAATGCTCCTCACCTTTATCTTCCCAACACCCCCCAAAGACACAGTGTTCCCGTTAGAAGCAACAGCCCACAGCAGCGGCAGGGCTCAGGGTGTGGCTGTCGCCGTGGGCGGCGCGTGTGCTGTGGGCGGGGGTCTGGGTGCCAGCCTGGCTCATGCTCCCAGCTCCCCACCCTGTGTGGGTGAGGATGAGGTGCACGTGTGCACATGGCGTGTGCGTTTGCTTTTGTGTCTGTGTGTGTGTGTGTGTGTGTGTGTGTGTATAATGTGGGTGTACAGTGTGTGTATATATGTGTATTGTGTGAATACCGTGCATATATGTATGTGTATTGTATGTATTGTGTGTGTATATGTGTGTGTATGTGTGTGTATGTGTGTCTGTATATGTGTGTGTATGTGTGCGCGTGTGTGTATATGTGTGTATGCATGTATTGTGTGTATGTGTGTATATGCATGCGTGTATTGCATGTATTGTGCATGTGTATGTATATTATGTGTGTACATGTGTATGTATGTATTATGTGCGTATATGTGTGTGTATTGTGTTTGTGTGTATATGTGTGTATGTGTATTGCATGTATTGTGCGTGTGTGCGCGCGCCTGTGTGAATTGCCCAGCACCAGCACGGCCCGCTGCAGGGGCTCAGCAAACGGCAGCTGCTCTCACTCAGCTCCATCGGAGCTGGACCGTTTGGCGTGGGAGCTGTGTCCAGCAGGCCCACTGTCCCCAGCACCCACCCTTCCCTATAGAGGTCTTCCTGTCAGGCCATCGGGGCGTGTTGGGGACCAGGTCCTGTGACATCGAGGGTCCAGAGTGGTGCCATGTAGAGGGGACCCTGGTCTAGGACGGGGGCGCTGAGCAGGGCCTGGTGAGGTGGGGTGCCTGGCAGCCTCCAGGGCTCTCCCTGGCCGGGGCCGGGGCCTGGCCGACACAGGGGAGCCAGCCCGGGGGCTGTGGGGCTGCCTGGCTCTCTCTGGCTTTTCAGGCACCCGTCCGCTACCTTCTGGGCTGGGGAGGCCTTGATGCCTTCAGGCCTGGCTCCTGGCTCCTGACGGTAGTCTGTGGGGAACCACGCTGGTGTGGGAACCGCCCCACAGCCAGGGGCAGGGTTTGGACCTACCTGCTGTGTGCCCAGTGACCGTGGCGTGAGCACCACTCTGATGCCACTTTATAGATGAGAAGCTGACGCCGAGAGGAGCGCACTTGTCCGAGGTGGTGACCCTTTGGCGGAACAAAGACAGATTGGAGCATGTCCCGAGGCAGAGGCAGCCAGGCTGGGGAAGGGCCCTCAGCCGGGTGAGAGGACGTTTGAGAGAGAAATGCTTTTAAATGTTTGGAGGGCTGTCTTGTGGGTTAAATGGCTTTGCCTTTGTCTGGCGCGGGAAACTGGGACGCTGGGGACATGGAGCGGCAGAGTTCAGGCTCCTCCAAGCCGACGAAGGACAAGCTTCCATGACCGCAGCTGTCTCTAGCTGGTCTCGCAGGGCGCGGGGCACCCAGGGGAGGGGGCTGGTGTCAGGCCTGGGACCCGCCAGCCCCGCTGGATGTCCTGTATGCCCTTCAGGGACGCCCCTTCATCACATCCTACGGCAGAATTTAGCGTTTCCCCATCACTATTTCCTTTTCTGATGCAGGATCACCAATAGGGTGAGCGCATTGATTAATTGATTAGTTGACTGACTGATTAATTGGAAATGTTTGTTCTCTTTCTCTCTCACTGCTGTGACATTTTGCTGTAAGAGAATTAATCAGGTTGAAATAGGGTCATGACTGACCCAGAAAGGATATATTCTGTCAACCGCTTTGGCAGGAAAGGGCCATTCAGGTGACTGAACCAGAGCTGGGCCACCCCAGGGGCCCAGGACACGTCCAGATGAGTCAGGGCTGACGAGGGTGAGACAGAGGAGCTCAAACAGGAATGAGGGGCTCGGGGCCTTCCTGGGGGTCTTAGGCTCAGGCCCTCCACTTCCTTCCCTCCAGAGGCCTCTCCCTGGCTTCCCCAGGACCCACTGTTTCTAGAACAATGGGGTTCCAGGTGGGTCTACAGTTGCAGTCACACATAGACACATCCATGGGAAATTATACAATTGCGTCACAGTTGGCATCTTTCCCCAGTTTTCTCCGGGCACTTGCTGGTTATTTGTCGGTTTGCTTTGCGGCCTGTGGTCACCCTGGCAGACGGGCAGGAGTGGCCGTCAAGGGTGTAAGAGCTCTTTGTGGGAGAAAAACAGCGTGGAGGTTGTCTGCACTGACTTGATTCGTTCTGTCAGTAGGTGAGGGCGGCCGCTCTCCGTCTCAGTCCCATGAGCACAGCAGACAGGCTTACACGTGAGAGCCCCTTCTGTGCCGTCCTGTTGTGAGAGTGGGACAGGTGAGGGGCAGGTGGGGTGGTGGGGCTTGTCACAGCACCAGGCGTGTGAGGATGCGTTCCCGGAGCTGTTGGCCCCTCCTGCAGCTTCGTATTTGAAGAATTCAGATCGGAGGGCACACCTGCAAATGCAGCAAGAGAAGCCCACATCCGAGTGGGCACAGGTGGCCGAGGTCCTGAGGAGCTCGCTTGGTTTGGCCGGGGGCAGGAATAGAGCTGGGGGGCTGTCCTGCTGGGATGGGGGAGACCGCCCTCTCTTCTCTTACACACGGAGTGAAGGGCGGCCTTGGGTGCGGCCAGGACTTAGCGATGCGCCAATTGGCCTCCTTCGTTCTGTAGTGTGTGTGACTTTTCGGGGAAGTGTGCTCCTTAGGCGAATCTATCAACAGGTGACTGTGAGGAAGCTTCCGGTATCAGTTACGTACATGACCTTGAAGATAGGAAGAGCTCTGATGCGTTGGTGTCCTCGTGTGTGTGAGCATGTACGCGCATGTGTGTGTGTGTGTGTGTGTGTGTGTGTGTGTGTGTGTGTGATGTGAATGGGAGGGATATGGCGTTACCTGTGCATCAACCAACTTCAATCTTGTTTTCTACAGGAGACATGGGGGACAAAGGACAGAAAGGCAGTGTGGGCCGCCATGGAAAAATCGGTCCCATTGGTTCTAAAGGTATTTCCGGTGCGCCCTCGCCTCGCGTTCCCTTCCAGGCTCACACTTGGCCCGGAGAACGACAGCAGACGGGACCGTCTTGCCCGGAGGCCCGGCTTATTTTTGTGTGCTTTATACGGGACAAATTCTGCCGCACTGTTTGCGTTCTGCGAGTGGTCCGAGTCAGCTGCTGGCCTGGCCGAGTCCCCTGCCCTTCAGGGTTCAAGTGCTCCCCACTTCCCTAGGTGGTCAGGATCAGGGACTGGTGGGCCTGGCAGGACTCGCACCTCCTTAACGAGTTTAATTAACGCCTGGGGCCCATTTGAGGAGCAGCAGGGCTGTGCCCGGGGCTGTGCTGTCCACTCCCAGCTCTCGTGTTGTGGCCTCACTGTGACTGTGGGGTGGTTCTCGGTGACAGCGAGGCCCAGCAGGACAGCAGCAGCTCCAGTGACAACGTGCCTGCCTCACAGCTGGTCTGACCCGCACGGCCGGGAGTGGAGGGCAGGTCAGGGATTGAGACCCAGGGCGGCTCAGGGTCGGCTCAGAACCACACACCCCCTCCTGCCATTGTGACTCAGTCAGCAGGTGTTTTCTGAGCCCCCGGTTTGTCCCTCAGAAGGGCACGGCGGGGTGCAGGAGGCAAGGAGCCCCAGTCCCTGAGCTCAGTGAGTGAGCCACCTGGGGAGGTCTACTGGCAGGTCCTGTCCTCGGTGCCGGAAAGGAGACAGAGGCTGGGAGGGCCCATTGGGGGGGGGGAGCAGAGCTGCTGGACGTCCACCAGGAACAAAGGGGAGATGGGCTGTCTGTCCAGTGCTGGGGCCGCGTCTGGTGCCTCATCAGCTGGCCTGGGGGCTGAGCCGTGGTCACGGACCTGCCCCAGCCCGGCCGGGCCCCGGCAGGAAGGGCCCTTGGCCAGGAGTGAGGCAGAGCGTGTGGCCAGCCGGGCTCAGCGGCCGCCTCTCCTGGCAAGTCTGTGGGAAGCACCTGCCCCGGGACGGCTGGCTCATTACAGGGCACAGAGGGTTCATGGAGTGACGAGGAATACACGCTTTAAAAAATGGAAATACTCAATATTCACTGTGGTGAAATATTTGTGACATAAACATTGCCATTTAAACTGTTTTAAGTGTAACTCAGTGGTACTGAGTATGTTTGCAGTGCCGTGAAGCCATCATCACTGTCTATTCCCAAAACGTTTTCTCTACCCCAAGGGGACACTGTGTCATGAAGCAATAACGTGCCATCTCTCCTCTCCTGCTGCTGGTGACCTCTGTTCCGCGCTCTGTCGCTATGAATTGGCCTCTTGTCGACACTTCACATGAATGCAGTCAGGCCAGGCCTGTCCACTTAGAGGAGTGTCTTCAAGGTCCAGCCATGCTGAGCGTGTCAGTCTCCTTCCTTCCTGAGGCTGAAGGCTATTCCAGGGCACGGATGGAGCAGGTTCAGTCGCCCACGCCACTGCTGATGGACACTTGGTTGTTTGCACCTCTGGCTGCTGTGGACAGTGCCGTGGATGTTGACGCAGAGTAGGGATGTGCTCTGGGTAGAGCTCAGCGCCGCCCCAAGGGACAGCTCGCCCAAACACTGCCGTGGGGCTGAGCTGAGTTGATGTGCTTCTCCCTGAGAGTCCCATCCTGGTCCTTGTCAAGCTGACTCTCAGTCATTTCCATGCCCTGATGCTGACCAAGGGACACAAAGGAGTTGCCTGGACGGACACTGCCAGGTGTGTCCCTCCCCGGCCGGAGAAACACGAATCTGTGGATGTAGGAGCCACGGCCCATCGGCTGTCCCTTGGCTGTCCCTGGCTGTCCCTGTCCAGCGGAGATGCCTGTGCTTGAGGAATACTCATGGGATGCTACGGAAACACTTGCTCCTAACTGTGCAGTAGCCAGAAAGCTTTGCGGCCATGATTTTGTTCAACAAACTTGTTTTAGAAGTTGAGGGCAGTGGAGGGGCTGAGTGGCTAGTGGCCTGCCCCATCGAAAGGGAGGCTGGAGCCGGGTCTGCTGGGGCTGTGCCCTCTGTGCTGCACATGGCCTCTCTGTTGGGGACAGGAAGGACTCAGATTGCAGCATGACTGTGAGAACCTTTTACTCCATTTGGGTTAGAAAACCTCTGTGGCCCACTTGGCGCTCAGATCACGTGCCCTGTCTGAATTTTCCTGCCGTGATGAGGGACATGGAGAGAATGGCGCCAGATTTGGTTGCTACTTACTCATGGTGTTGAGGACTCGTGACATGCCACCTGCTCAGGGCTTCATGACACGTCCGCATCCTCCCGACTGGCTTAAAGGATTGTCCGATCCGTTCTAGGATCCCCTGAAATGTACACATGTCCATCACACACACGGAACTGAAGAATTAGTTGTCTATAGAACAAAACTCCTGTGGCTCTGGAGAAACCCAGGGTGTCACACATGGAAGAAATGACACTGTTCACCTTGACACTTTGAACTCATGAAATGCGTCCCGTCTCCGCTTGTTGACTTTAACCTTGCTTTTCTTTTTCAGGTGAAAAAGGAGATTCTGGTGACATAGGACCCCCTGGCCCTAATGGAGAACCTGGTATGGTCTAAAGGGTCCAAGGATTTTAAAAATACGAATTAAAAATTGCACTTTTGAGAACAGTGTCACTCACAAGGTGAAACCGCACTGGCTGGGAAGCGGAACACATGAGGCTGATGTGTACCCTCCTTGTCTGTTGCTCCCTCGTGTATCCCGCTCCTCCTTACGATTGCACCCCGCTTGCCGACTGTGTGTGCCCACATCCCAGACACACCGTCCTGAAGCACGCGCGGGCCTCGCCCTGAGCTCCCTGGGTACACAGGGTGTCCCCCTTCCTCTGACCCCCCAACTTCTGAGAAAAGCACACTGTACTTTCTGGATATTTCCCTCACTCAGGTCATCCTTGCAGCCAACTCCCCACGACCCCTCCTCTACCCCACGTGCATGCCAGCACGGCCCATGTCTACACCCAAGTCTGCTCTGCACTTGGAGGTGTCATAGGCTCCGTCAGCTCAGCGCACCCCTCTTCCCAGCCCAGCTCAGCAGTGGCTCCGCTCCCACTGAGTCACTCAAACAGGGACCTGGGGTCTCCCCTGACTCCTGCTCACCCCCACGTCCAGTCACTGGTCCTGTTGGTTGTGCTGCCGCCGTTTTCCTGCTGCGCTTTGTCTTCTCTGCAGCACCGTGTCCATCCTGAGCCGAGCCACCGCTGGCCTCTCTCAGCTTCTGTCACGGTCCCTCCGCTGCTCTCTCCTTCCGTTCTTCCTTCCCCCGCCAACCAGATGCTGCCCCTGGCTCCCCTGCCAAAGCCCTCGCTGCTGCTGCTGCCGGCCTTCAGGATAGAGCATGCAGCGCCTGCACGGCTGCAGGCCTGCGGCGGCTCGGATGACAGCTGTGTGCTGGGGAGGGGTGCCCGCTTCCCTCTGAGCCCAGCCCCTCGGTGAGTCTGCACGTAACACACCTGGTCTCTGCAGGTGTCCCGTGCGAGTGCAGCCAGCTGCGGAAGGCCATCGGGGAGATGGATAACCAGGTCACCCAGCTGACCGCCGAGCTCAAGTTCATAAAAAACGGTATGTCCCCTTCGGCGCTTCCCTGGGCCCGCGCCCGCCTGCGTGCGTGTCCGCCCCGCCCGTGGGGCGCCCCTGGCATGTTTACAGACGCGCCAGCGCTCACCTTGCAGCACTGCCCTCCCCCGCAGCCGTTGCCGGCGTGCGCGAGACGGAGAGCAAGCTCTACCTGCTGGTGAAGGAGGAGAAGAGGTACGCGGACGCGCAGCTGTCCTGCCAGGGCCGCGGGGGCACGCTGAGCATGCCCAAGGACGAGGCCACCAACAGCCTGATGGCCGCCTACATCGCGCAGGCCGGCCTGGCCCGCGTCTTCATCGGCATCAACGACCTGGAGCGGGAGGGCGCGTTCGTCTACGCGGACCGCTCCCCCATGCAGACCTTCCACAAGTGGCGCGGCGGCGAGCCCAACAACGCCTACGAGGACGAGGACTGCGTGGAGATGGAGGCCTCGGGGGGCTGGAACGACGTGGCCTGCCACATCACCATGCACTTCATGTGCGAGTTCGACAAGGAGCACGTGTGACGCCGGCCGGCCGCGGAGTGCAGAGCTCGGGCAGCGCGGCCGCGCGGGCGCCCGGGGCCGTGTTCTCTGAACCTCGGGGAGCCGGTGTGCTTAGGAGGAAACGCTTCTGGGCATCCCTTCTGAAGGAGCAGTTTTCTTACTTGTATTGTAGCCAAATGTTCACTATGTCATGATTACGCAGGGCTGCTGCTGCCTTTGTCCAAACTACCAAATGAAACCCTGAGATGTGACAACAGTTAGGACGGCCGTGGTGTCGTCTCACGAAACCGTCTTCCTTTTAACTTCCATAGGAAGAGAACCCACTCGTGACAACACTGACCAGTGTTCCTGGAGTTTATACTAAAATACACATTCCTTTTCACTATTAGCCAAGTAGGAATAATTTTGCTTTGCTGCAAACCCAGATTTCAGGAAAAACAAAAATAAATACTCCAACCTTGACAGCTTCGTGTGTGGTGTTTTATTCTCCTAATGTTCTCAATGGCTGTATTCGTTATCTATTTGCTGTACCCCACATCACCCCAAACGCAGGGGCTTGTGACAAAATCGTCTCTACCTGACCAGCTCCAGGCAGCTGTGTTGGTGGATAGGATCCAGCCCCTCTGGCCGCTGGATGGACGCCTCAGGCCCTCACCACACGGCCTCTCCATCGGGCAGCTGCCCCAGAGCCACTAAGAGAGCCAGCGTGACAGAAAGACATTCACGCCTTCTGTCACCTCACCTGGGCGGTGGCGTCCCCTTGCTGTGGCTGCGTTCTTTTCATAGGGAGAGTCACCAGGTCCAGACTGCACGCTCGGAGCTTCTGGCGCAGCAGCAGGTAAGCTGACCACTGAGTTAAAATTCATAAAAAACGGTATGTTCCTTCTGGTGCTTTCCCTGCCCCGCCCGCCTGGAGTAGAGATGATATCCCCTCGAGGGAGGGCCCGCCTGCTCCCCATCCACTGCAGAAGGCCCAGGCTCCCCAAGATCGAGGGGCCTCTCCTGTAAGTGCCCCTGCCTGTGCGGCTGTCCCTGGGTCCTTCGTGTGCCCAGTGGGGACTGGGGCTCTGGCCTCTCTGGGTGCTGCTATTTCCGCTGAAAGCAGAGGGGCCGAAGCAGCAGACCCGGCCCCAGATTCCTGCTGGAGCCCCACAGCCACCCCCGGGCCGGGCTGGGTGCGGCAGGGACGACAGCTGTCACTCCCTGCCCTGCGCTGGCCTAGGACAGCGCCTCCCCCCTGCCCAGGGCCGACCCTGTGCCAGGGGGCGGGGGAGGCCAGCTAACCCAGGTGGTGGCTCAGGTGGGTGGGTGGCCTGGGAGGATCCCAGCAGGGAGGGGCTGAGCCTGGACTCCCCCTGCCCCTCGGGCACCCCGCTGCACCACCCAGAGTCCCTGTCCCCTGCAGGCTCCTCTCCTGTCGTGGGGACCCCAACTCCCCTGTGAAATCAGAGGGAGAGGAGCCAGCCTCCTCTTGTCCCCCACCCCAGCCCCCGCCGGCTTTTCTCAGAGGAAGCTGAGTTAATAGCACACTCAAGAAGGCACCCTGCCCTTGTTTGCCCGAGGGCCAAACACGCTGTAGGATGTGAGTGTTTTGTAGCATATCTAATGGGATGTAAACAATGGGGTGTGAAGTCAGAATAAATCCCCGACTCTTGGGAAGAGCCTGCTGTGTAGCCAGCAGGTCTGGGGTGCAGGTTGGGAGGGGAGGGGCGGAGGACAGAGCGGGTTTGTTAGGTGCTGCCGTGAGCCAGGACCCAGGGCGCTCTGTGAATGTGGCTGAGACCAGTGGGTGGCCAGACACAGCCTGGGG